TATATATATATATATATATATATATATATATATATATATTCCATTCCAAATATACACAAAAGAAAAAAAAAAAAAAACATAAAAAAGAAGAATACAAAGAACTACCAACCAAAAATCCCTCCCCCCCAAAAAAATGTTCTTCTTAATTTGTTTTGAATTTCTCTTCTCCCCCTTTTCTGTTTTTTATTTTTTATAATTCTAAAAACTTATATTTTTTCAAAAAAAAAAAAAAAGGGGTTGTAGGGATTAAAAATCCCTACAACCCCATATTTTTTATTTTGTTTTTTACCCATTATTTAATTCAGGAAAAATATGGTAAATTCGCATTCGCGGTGCGGACCAGGTCGGCCGCGGACGCGGCCGTATATACGGCCGCCATCTGAGCTGGACCCCACGGATGCGTCCGCGGGTGTTTCATTGGTGCTAAGAACAAACCAAGTTTTTTTTTTTTTTTTTTTTTTTTAGAAAACACGAAACTGGTTGAGTTTTGGTGTTGAGCTGGCGCAAACTTGCTTGGTAGAATCTGGACACAACAACCCTTCTTTCCCCCGAACCCAACGCCCGGTCATTATGTCCGTATCTGGCTGGAAATTTAGACTAAATACAGGGATGGTAGGAACCGAGATGTTTAGTCCCTTCCAGAATACTACAGACTATTGTGTTCACCTTAATAGATGCACGGTAGTCTACTAGTCTGAACAAAACTGAACAGAACGCCTGGTCCATAGGTTCGTATGTGGCCAAAAAGGTGGGCTAAATATATGGATGGTAAGAACCTAGATGTTTAGTCCCTTCCAGAATACTTCAAACTATTGTGTTCACCTGAATAGAATGCACGATCATTATGTCAACTGTATTTGGGGAAACTTTCAGTCTAGATACAATGATAATGACATTGCACACTATTCGGGTGAGGACGCCAAGTCTGAGAACAATGAGGAGAGGTGAAAAATGTCATGTGAGGTCATAGCATGGACAATCTTTTCCTAAAGAACTACCAGTCTCTTTGATGTCCATTCATATTATAACCTCCTATGAAATGCTCAAAAGGAGTTCTATTTCTTGAAGTTTCTGGGGAAAAAAAGAAAGAAGCTGTAAAACATACTCACTAGAGTTTCAAGAGAAAAAGGGAACGAAAGAGAGTTGAACGCTAGAATCATAGTAGATTGGAGTTGGCACTCTTACAACAGAAAAGCTGGAGTTACGCTTTAGGGTTGTCGAGGCGTAGGGCTAGGGTTTAGGTTTTTAGGGCCTTGCCGCCTTAGGCCCCCGTAGGGTTTTAGGGCTTGCGATAGCATGGACAATGTTTTCCTAAAGAACTAGCAGTCTCTTTGATGTCTATTAATATTATAACCTCCTGTGAAATGCTCAAAAGGAGTTCGATTTCTTGAATTTTCAGGAGAAAAMAGAAAGAAAGCTGTAAAACGTATTCACTAGTCTAAGAGTTTGAGGAGCAAAACGGAAAGAAAGAGAGTTGAACAGTAGTGTCATAGTAGAATGGACTTGCCAGTGTTGCCACTCTTACAACACAAAAGCTGGAATTACGCTTTAGGGTTGTAGGGTCGTAGGGTGAGGGTTTAGCTTTTTAGTGCCTCCCTTCGGATCTTAGGGCTTGCGATTCATGCTTTAGAGCTTAGGGTTCAACTTGTTTGGGGGTTTCAATACAATTTTTCGACACCGGGCCGCCTGTAATGACAAATTATGCACAACAGGTTTCCGGGTGCAGGGCTTAGGGTTTAGGGTTTACGGTTTAGGGTTTATCGTGTAGGGTCTTAGGGCTCAGGATTTATGCTTTAGGACTTAGGGTTCATCTTGTTTGGGAGTTTTAATAACAAGCTCACCTCTCATAAGAAAGCAACAAGAAATGACAAAGTCTATGGAATGGCTTTCAGGGCTCAGGACTTGGGGTTTAGCTTGTGGGGGGTCGCACTTAACAACTGAATGGGCCAATGGCTTATAGCCTTATAAAACTGAGAACTGACAAACTAGGGGCAACGGGTCATAGGGTCTTAGGGTTTAGGGTTTGGGGGGTTTTAACTACAGCTAGACATCTTGTAGAAATGAGAAATCAAAAAAAGGGCAGGCATACATGGTTACCTTGAAAATTATGACTGAATGAAATAAAAGTCAATGAATGGATGAATGAATGAAGTGAAATGGTTTGGATAAATATGCAATAGGATGTAGAATACAGATGCACCTCTGGATAACAAAGACAAAAAATGTGGGAAAAAAAAAGAAGGAAACTGTTACAACAGAGTGCAGATGTAAGCAAGATCTACCCGACAAAGAYAATCATATGGAAATACACAAATATGTTGAAATCATTAACTAACTCACTGGTCAACAGAGAGCGCGGGAGGGGGGTGGAGGGATCAGAATCAGCGCGAAAATACTGTGGAAATCAGAACGAATTATGAATTTGATGGTCTGGATGGTGTTGCCTCCCGCTCATATAGTGACAGGTCACAGATGCCATAAGAAGAGTGATTTAGTTCAGTCCCCCCCCCCCTCCCTGCCCTGACTGCATGAGAAGAAAAAGGTCTGTAGAATGATGTTCTTTTCTCTTCTCGTCGTCCTA